TTGGGGGCTGATGTCTTGGGCTGGCTGGTTATTGGTGCGGCCATGAAATTGAAGGCACAACTCCATCCTTAAGGCGTCTTCGTTCCTCTAAAATATTAAAGTATCAGTTATGCATAGTATAACATTAATCAAAGTTAGAAAACAAATTCTTGTTATCACTATTTCCAAAAAAATACTGTACAGATCTTTGTCAAATTCCATACACAGGGTCCCTTGGTCATTGGTTTTAAGACTGATCAAGGGGGAAAAGATGGCCACCAGACACTGGCAGCCATTTTGAATTTTGACAGTTTCAAGTTTGTTTAATATTGGTATATATATGTATCCTTAGTAGTAACTATTTGGTTATATATAAGTGTATCAAACAATAGTGCTCTTTATCATGAATTCATGCATAATACATGTTTGAAATTGAAAATTAACCTACCTCCTTCCAATTCTTCTACGTAGGTGTCATTTTGTCAATGTCTCTGAAAAGAAAAGAAAAGAAAAACCACAAAGCAACACGAACAAATGTAACAAATAATTCATAAAACAAAAATAATTAAAGATCCATGTCCGGCTGCGGCAGACAAAACACTACAGAATTCTACTGTATTTAGATATATATAACAGTAGCGTGACTAACATGGGCCAGACTACATATGTTGATCAGGTAGCTCAATAGGTTTAGTATACTGATCTGGGGTCTGGAGTTGAAGTCATGAGTACATATTTATGAAACTATTCTTTAAGTCTTGCTAAAACCGGATTTTGTACTCCAGTCCAATTAAGTATTTCTGTGTTAATCACAATTTCCCAGTGATTATGAAGAATTGTAGAGAGACTAATCACTTCAAACCAAAAACTGCTTAAGATCAGAAGAGCTTATTCTTGAAATAAGAATGTTGGTTTGAGCACAAAAATGTTTTCATGATTTACCAAAGATATTTACACATACCAAACAAATAAATTTCCTATATATGGATAGTTCCAGTTTTTGGAAGTGCTACAGGGAGGGATCCTTAAATGATAAAAATGTTCAGGGCTTTTAGCTGAATCTTGGCATTTAACAATTTCAGAAGTAAAATAGAATTCTTTTTGAATTTTTGAGTGTCAAAACATAGGTCAAATAAACCTGTCTTTAAAACCAAAGAGTCAAATTTTATTTTAGAGAGTCAAAACATGCTCTAAAATATCAGTCTAGCATCAACTGAAAGCCCTGGTAACTCTGTTTCATACTTCCTCTACTTGTACAGCAAAACGTGCTCAGTTTCCATAAGTACACTGTGAACAAGTTGAGCGATTTTTCTATTATTCAGTAACTGTTATTTTAAAAGCAACGCAATTGCTATTCGCTAATTGCTATTCGCTAATTTGAAAAGAAGCTGCATGATGCTTGTCGCTTTTAAGTGTGGCTGCCTGACTCTGAGTTGTCATATGCAAAAATAATAAATGACCTTATCAAGTGTCCTGCCCCTTGCAAAGTCATTCCTATGTTTCTATGCCAATGTCTGCCCCTCAAACATGTATTAACTGTTTTAAATATTAGGTCTTTTTTTCTGTTACGATAGGTCAGTTATTTGAAAACTTTAGAATGTGTTTTCGAAGAATAGTTTGAATTGAAACATATTTTTATTGGATTGAACTGCCAGCCATTTTGTGGAAGGTAGCTCTAAGGCCATAATAAGTATTTGGAGAAACAAATTTCATACTCGCATAGAGTTTGTTTAAAATTTAAACCCCGCAAACAAAATTACCATGTTCTACTTTCTTTCCTCCAGATGTTTGAATAAATGTCAAAAGTTCATTCCCGTTGACGGAGGTTCAGGGGATTCACAATTAAATATTTACAAAGGGATTGTCTAATATTTTATAGAAAATCAGGAAACTAGTAGTGCAAAGTGTTGAACTACTAAGTCTTTGTCTTTGGCTAATTTTCTGCAGCTATGATTGGGATTTATGCATAGACTCAATCTACGTTGGTTATTGACAAGTTACATATATGTTAACCGACTTTACATAAAATAACTAAACGTTAAAACAATTCATAGGAGAAAGCTATCCCTCATTCATTTATTTACTGTAACCTGATGTTGTTTATGCAAGCGTGAAAAATGGCTCATATAACAGAGTTGATATAATATCTGTAATATCCATTTGAAGGATTTCTTAAAAAATATAGACATTTATGTTACAATGTATGGAAGTTTATGATATTGGTCATATTTGAAGAACAATTTTCCATATTGAAGTACCTTGAATGATTTGCTTTGTATGCTTGAATCATAGACAAAACACAATACTTTTTTTGTTTGTTTGTTTAACGTCCTATTAACAGCTAAGGTCATTTAAGGACGGCCTCCCCTGTGTGCAAGATGCATGCGTGTAGTGTATGTGTGTGTATTTTGAGAGGCTTAGATATGTTCGTGTTGTTTTGGCGTGTGTAATTTCTTTCAAGTTGTTAAATGGAGTTTCTGTGGAGTGTTTAAATGGACACGTGCAGAGGAAGAGAATTTTGTCAGAGTTGAAACATTTACAAAATTATTCATACAGGACCTCTATCGGATGTAGGTAACGGTCCTGAACCGGTAGATCTTGGAGTTCCTAAGGTGATAGGAAATATTCATGTCTCTATAGACTGTCAACTGGTACTGAACTATTCCGAGGACAACACTTGGTACTTCCACTGTTTGAGCTATCAACACTTGCTGGTATAGATATAATGGTAAACAATAAAATCATGCTCTAGAACAGAGCTGTGTCTTCTGGTTATATATACTGAACAAAAAAGAAACGCCCCTTGCAGTACACCATAGCTGTAAGGAATTAATGGAATATTTGGTCAGGTATTACATCAAGAACGATCTCCCTTCTCAACAATCTACCCTAAAATCAGCCAAGCGTGACGATGTCATTGTGCAACTTTGTGAGCTTCTTAAGTCCAAATCACACGGCGTGATCAAGCCAAGCCGGAGTTTTTCAAACAAATAATCTCAACGGATACTCCAAGTTCAGCCACATTAATTTTCCACGTTGGCATTTTGATTTCGCCATTGACTGAGATGCCACGCTTAACGCAAATTCAGAGGGGTAGAGCAATTGCGATGTTGATGGATGGTCATAGCCAAACTGCTGTCGCACGGCAGTTTGGGGTTGGCCCGTGTACAATTAACCGTCTCTGTACATGTTTCCGTGCTCCTGGGTTAGTTTCCGATCGTCCCAGGAGCGGTCGTCCGCGTGTAACGACTGCACAACAAGACAGGGCTATTTGATTGTAGCACTTGCGCAACATATTCAAGACTGCTGTAGAGACTGCGTCGCATACCTTAGGTACTCATGGCAGACCCATTAGTCCTCAAACTGCCAGGAACCGCTTGCGTGCCGAGAGAATCATTGCCCATCGACCTTATGTCGGGCCACCTCCGACACCACGGAGACGCCCAGTGCATCTTGACTGGATGCGCAGACATGGCCCGAATAGGTTTTGGATGCGTCGATGGAGGCGTGTGATGTTCACCAACGAGTCTAGATTATGTCTGTATCGCTCAGACGGAAGAAAAGGGGTATATCGCAGACGCAGTGAGCGTTTCATGCGTGCGTGGTTGAACCTGATAGATTCGGTGGGGCTTCTGTAATGGTTTGGGGAGGCATCTCCCATGGAGTAAAATCCCCCTTAGTGGTCCTGGATCAAAACCTCAATGCCGTTCGATACAGAGATCAGATCCTCCAACCACATGTCCTTCCACTTCTCAGACGTCATAACCTAATTTTCCAGCAAAACAATGCTCGACCGCATGTTGCCAGAGTCTGTCGTGATTTTCTCATGACAAACAACGTCCAGCCTCTTGAATGGCCGTCATATAGCCCCGACATGTCTCCCATTGAGCATCTGTGGGATGATCTGGACAGACATATTAGGAAACGTCAAAACGCCCCAACTAACCGCGCCCAGTTGATCGCAGCATTAACACAAGAATGGAACAACATTCCCTTAAGGCGAATTAATGTTCTCATGAATTCAATGCACATGAGAATCTGATGACACGAGTGACGACACACAGACTTTTCTTCTACAGTATTGTAAAGAGAAGACTTGTCCCTTCATATTGATATAAATTTTTGTAAAAATTTCCCAAAATATCATAGGCTATTGATTGCATAATTTAATTGTGTTTTTAGTCACCCCTGGGGGAACCCCAGCGGGGACTATTAATTTTGGTTTCAGTCCCAGATTTTGACCTCCACTGTTTCAGCTTTCGGGTGTTTGCTTCTGTCGCTAATTACAAGCTTTTGGATAACTCCGATATCGATTTTAGGAATAGATCAACCAAAAGGCGTTCCGAATTTCAAACTAAAGATGTTCCGAATATGAATCAGTCACCTTTGAGGTTCCCGAAGGGGCAGACTGTTATATTATATATTGCTATTGATTGATTGAGATCTTTATGTCTGACCAATGACTATATTGGTAAAATTTCTTTTTAAACCAAATTAAATTTTGGAATAAAAAGTTCAGGTAGAAAAGCTAAATAACGTCTCTTTTTCTTTATCATCTATTCACGCAATGACAAAAGAAAACGTCACCTAGCAAAAGGGCAAACTTGATTTGACATGCCGGGTTTGTGTTTGCCACCGGCACACTACATTAAAGCATACGCGCAATTTGGCGGACACAAACAACATTTTGTATCGCATTGCATTTCTCTGCAGTCCGGCGAAACTTCTAATCGAACGGCAGGTGCCGAATATGCGGGATTTAAGTGACATTCGTAATCAGTAGGAAGGTGCCGCCTTCCCGGCGGTAAACGGCACGCCTGAATCAAGTTCGTCCAAAGTAAAATTTTTACGACATTTATGGAAATTGTTTTATTTTTTTAATTTACATACCATTTTCAGCCGTCACATTATAATTTCAAATGGTGGTATGTTATAAACAAATGCGCCATCATTCAAACAAATATTTCGTCAACATTCATATCCCGCCTGACAACGTTTACAACTTTAGGACACTTTACGACATAACACGTTACGGCAGAACTTGAAATGGAAAACCGGAAGAGTGCAGGGTCATGTAAGGTAAGTAGAACATTGCCATATTCAGAATTTATAATAAAAGCGCTCGACACCGTTTAATATTATCGTTTCTGCGGTGTGGTGGCAGTGGTGACCTCGAGGTACCGGCAAAACATGGTATTGACATTGTATTCGTTTTGAGCAAGATAAAAAGGTGGATTAAGCAAAACTGCATATTTATGCATGTTTTTTTAATCGATGATTAATTCTTGTTTTCCGGACGAAGTTCCGGTAATTTTTGTGTCAGTTTACAGACGATGGCCAAACGTCTAAAATATCTTTGTGTTGTGTCCAGCAGGTCACATAGTAATGAGATAAAGCTTGAAAAAAAAAGAAATATATAACGGGCGGAAACCGTTTTACAAACAAATAATTTTTACTGAGAAGTATCAGCTGATAATATGGAGTTAAATAACCACGAAAACAATACCAGTACAAACTGGTGATAGGGATTGGAAATTCCTTAATTATCAGCCTTTAGTTTTGGTGAAAATGATTTGCTCCAATATGCATGTTCAGTTCTCTTATATCATTTTTAAGCCGCTCTTGGCGAGAGCCGAGCGGCTTATTAATTCTGTCCAGAGAACGAAATGACGGACCCACTTCCGTTCGGGGTGCGTGCGCATAATTCAGTATTGCATGCTTCCGCTATATAGTTTCTCTGACACTCACCTGTGGGTTACATAAAATCTTCTGATACTCTTCTCCAAATAATAATCCATACTTTAAATAATTGCTGAAAACAAAATGTTTATCTCCGGTGCGTTCTACGAGTGTTGTGGTGGTGAAATTCGTGCACTAGGTTTGAGCGTTTTAGCAACTCGGATTGCGGTCTGGGGAGTGTTACGCGTGTGAAACACATATGATTCGAGAAAGCACATGTGAAGACTGTCAAGCATTGACGCTGTCTGTAGAAGGAAGAAGTAAATATATAAACTTATAAACCGTATGAGTGATGAAGTATAAACTCTATTTTGATGTTTGAAACGGTAACGTATATATGCCATATCGTGCTTAGGTTGATAACGGTAGACTAATGGCTCCGATACGAGACGATATGTGAACTGTATATGCTTATCAAACACTTTTGTAACACACTATGCTATTTCTGGTGTATTTATTTATGAAAGTGTAACAATTTAAGAACATGACACAACTGTCGCTGCTGTTTGACAAGAATTCGCGCCGTGTCAAAATAGTATCCAATTGGGTGTAAGGGAAATAACGTTGGTAAAGTCGCATTGGGAAATATAATTAAAATATATTCCAAGAACATTTGTGAGATTTTGTATATTCAATGACGGTAAATATAGTCGCTACAAATATTAATAATTTTCACTAATATGAATAAAAAATAAATAAAAATAAAAGGAGTACAATGTCTCTTTTCTCCATGCATGTTTTCCCACTACTGTTAATTATCCTTCATTTCACAAGCAAAAAATGCACCTATTCTTTATTATCCATTCACCGATTGCCATTCTGCACGTAAACGCTCATGTCACATCATTGGAGGATGCTAATTAATGAAAATTACAACAATGCGTCACACTTAAAGAGGGTGAAAAAGGAGGAGAGGGAGAAATGTTTTTAAGGCATCATTTAAGAAGTGATTGATTTTGAAAATCCTAAACGCAACATCATCAGTTGACCTGATTTTCAATTAGCAGAATACAGAACACATATCTGAGTTATTATAGTAGATTTTTATGCTCAACGTGTCACTGAAGCAATTAAATTTAAAGTGGTGAGTGGCCGTAATGTCACACTGACATAATTCTAGTTTTTTTTCATTTTAACAGATGAACTATCTTATCCTGGCACTTTGGCATGTTTGAATGTGGAAGGCCTTGAAATTGGGATGAAGAAGGCCAGGGAATGTCACAGAAATGAAATTATTTGCAGTGTTTGTGTTTTATGGTCATAAAACATGGAACATTTTCTTCAAGTAAATCAACCACATGCTTTCTTATTATATCCTAGTAGGTTGGCATGGTTACCTAAACAGCGTGTATGCATACCTGGTCATTGTTAGACCATTTTGATTGACAGGTGGAAATATGTCAGTTGTAGCTTGGTCAATGATTTATTATACTGAAATAATCATACAGGAGATGGGGTGACTTTCATGTCATTTTGACATATTTCTAGTTTTTTTATATGTTCAGTATACATATATATAAATATATTGTTACTAGGAGGTGGAGTAGGTGGATGTCAGGGAGTGGGTGTTTGAATGTCATGGGAGTGGATGTTTTGGTGTCAGGGAGTGGGTGTTTGGATGTCAGGGGAGTGGGTGTTTTGGTGTCAGGGAGTGGTTGTTTTGAGGTCATGAGTGGATGTTTTGATGTCAGGGAGTGGTTGTTTGGATGTCGGGGAGTGGATGTTTGGATGTCGGGGAGTGGGTGTTTGGATGTCAGGGAGTGGATGTTTGGATGTCGGGGAGTGGGTGTTTGGATAACAGGGAGTGGGTGTTTGGGTGCCAGGGAGTGGGTGTTTGGATGTCAGGGGTGGGTGTTTGGATGTCAGGGAGTTGGTGTTTGGATGTCAGGGAGTGGGCGTTTTGATGTCAGGGAGTGGGTATTTGAATGTTAGGGAGTGGTTGTTTGGATGTCAGGGAGTGGATGTTTTGATGTCAGGGAGTGGGTATTTGAATGTTAGGGAGTGGTTGTTTGGATGTTTGGATGTCAGGGAGTGGGTGTTTGGGTATCGGGGAGTGGATGTTTGGATGTCAGGGAGTGGACGTTTTGATATCAGGGAGTGGGTGTTTGGATGTTGGGAGTGATTGTTTGGATGTCAGGGAGTGGGTGTTTGAATGTCGGGGAGTGGGTGTTTGGATGTCAGGGAGTGGGCGTTTTGATGTCAGGGAGTGGGTATTTGAATGTCAGGGAGTGGGTGTTTAGATGTCAGGGAGTTGGTGTTTGGGTATCGGGGAGAGGGTGTTTGGATGTCAGGGAGTGGGCGTTTTGATGTCAGGGAGTGGGTGTTTGGATGACAGGGAGTGGGTGTTTGGTTGTCAGGAAGTGGGTGTTTAGATGTCAGGGAGTGGATGTTTGGATGTCGGGGAGTGGGTGTTTTGATGTCAGGGAGTTTGCGTTTTGATGTCAGGGAGTGGGTGTTTGGATGTCAGGGAGTGGATGTTTAGATGTCAGGGAGTGGTTGTGCGGAATCAAACTCAAAACTGACTGTGCTTTGGACACATGTTTTTCTTCTCACTGAAAGGCCTGGATATTCGGTCGTAGCTATTTTTATCGCACGCTTTCCCATAAGATAAAACCGACCACACTGGGCATTCGCTTCAGGTCATGTCATTATAAACTACGTACATTTTCGCTTGGGGATATATATTTTCAGTATCAACTTGACTTTTAGGTTTCCATTAGACTAAATAGCCCTTTTAACACTGTAAGTAATAAAATATAAGTGGTTGTTGCTTACACTGGAGAAAATGTTTTGTTGTATAATTCATGTTAAAAAATGAATTAAATTTTAATTTTGTTAGGTACTTGTGTAAAATGGGTACTGTATCATGACAATAACATACACTAAATAATGACATCATTGATGACTTGTTACCATGGTGGTATAAAACATGGATGCCCATTGGGGTTTAATGACATAAACAGGACAGTGCTGTAATTGGTCATTAACCGTCGTTAATGACGTACTACTAACACTTATCTCTAACAGAGTGTGTTATAGGGACCAATGGTTGATTGGAATGGTCATGCCTGATCTAGTCTTTACCAGTGGAAACATTTAAGTTGGTTTATCTGTTGAATTGTTAAAATGTCTGCACTAGAATTCTTCGCCCTATTTTGGATACACACATATATTAAATGGTTACTGTAAAAGTACGCTTCGCCTAGCCTTATTAGCCAATGGTTTTGGAGTAGAAACATGTACCGAGGTATTTCAAAAAGGAATTTATTCATCTTTCTGAATACCAAATAGTTGAACATGACAAATATTGAATTTGTTAACTAATAACTTATATGAAAATGAGTCAATGTAAGAACAAACTGAAAAACAAAAACTGATTTCATTTGGGGATCACTGTACCACTTTCAAAACCTCTAACTATGCATTAGTAAGCGTTTTTATCTGACATGACTTAGGCTTTGATAAAGCATTTCTGAAAAGAAAAACCATATACTTTGCAGGACTTTTATCAAAAAATAATACAAATGAAATTAACACAATACAATCAACAATAGGGTTCCGAGTGTAAAAATTTAGCAGGGCTGGACCGTGATTTTAACCATAGACTTCAGAGTTTTATACTATTATGCTAACGGATTCAGCTACCTGCATGGTCAACGGAAGTGTCATGACCGAACAGTGCTACAGATATTTCCAAACGGAAGTTAAAGGAATGTTACTGTATATATGATACGGAAAACCACAGTGCACTGGCCATAGGAAAGGAATTTAGATATAATGTAAACAGAAATACATGTAGTAACTATCATCTTGGCTTGTAAACGTTTTCCCCAGGCATTTTTCCTGGTATGATCCTCCATCTGACATCCCCATCTCTACCTTCAATTCAACATTCACCACCTCAGTCGGACATCTCTACCCATCACCCTACTCCATTATATACATCATGAAGATTAGTAGTAAATACCTCACCAGCTCAGTCGGACATCTCTACCCATCACCCTACTCCATTCTCTACATCTTGAAGATTAGTAGTAAATACCTCACCAGCTCAGTCGGACATTTCTACCCCTCACCCTACTCTATTATCTACATCTTGAAGATTAGCAGAAAATACCTCACCAGCTCAGTCGGACATCTCTATCCCTCACCCTACTCCATTATCTACATCTTGAAGATTAGTAGTAAATACCTCACCAGCTCAGTCGGACATCTCTACCCATCACCCTACTCCGTTATCTACATCTTCAAGATTCGTAGTAAATACCTCACCAGCTCAGTCGGACATCTCTACCCATCACCTCACTCCATTATCTACATCTTCAAGATTAGTAGTAAATACCTCTTCAAAAACAGCTCAGTTGGACATCTCTACCCATCACCCCACTCCATTATCTACATCTTTAAGATTAGTAGTAAATACCTCACCAGCTCAGTCGGACATCTCTACCCATCACCCTACTCCATTATCTACATCTTCAAGATTAGTAGTAAATACCTCACCAGCTCAGTCGGACATCTCTACCCATCACCCTACTCCATTATCTACATCTTCAAGATTAGTAGTAAATACCTCTTCAAAAACAGCTCAGTTGGACATCTCTACCCATCACCCTACTCCATTATCTACATCTTTAAGATTAGTAGTAAATACCTCACCAGCTCAGTCGGACATCTCTACCCATCACCCTACTCCATTATCTACATCTTCAAGATTAGTAGTAAATACCTCACCAGCTCAGTCGGACATCTCTACCCATCACCCTACTCCATTATCTACATCTTCAAGATTAGTAGTAAATACCTCACCAGCTTAGCGGGACATCTCTACCCATCACCTCACTCCATTATCTACATCTTCAAGATTAGTAGTAAATACCTCACCAGCTCAGTCGGACATCTCTACCCATCACCCTACTCCATTATCTACATCTTCAAGATTAGTAGTAAATACCTCACCAGCTCAGTCGGACATCTCTACCCATCACCCTACTCCATTATCTACATCTTCAAGATTAGTAGTAAATACCTCACCAGCTCAGCGGGACATCTCTACCCATCACCTCACTCCATTATCTACATCTTCAAGATTAGTAGTAAATACCTCACCAGCTCAGTCGGACATCTCTACCCATCACCCTACTCCGTTATCTACATCTTCAAGATTCGTAGTAAATACCTCACCAGCTCAGTCGGACATCTCTACCCATCACCCTACTCCATTATCTACATCTTCAAGATTAGTAGTAAATACCTCTTCAAAAACAGCTCAGTTGGACATCTCTACCCATCGCCCTACTACATTATCTACATCTTGAAGATTAGAAGTAAATACCTCACCAGCTCAGTCGGATATCTCTACCCATCACCCCACTCCATTATCTACATCTTGAAGATTAGTAGTAAATACCTCACCAGCTCAGTCGGACATCTCTACCCATCACCCTACTCCATTATCTACATCTTCAAGATTAGTAGTAAATACCTCACCAGCTCAGTCGGACATCTCTACCCATCACCCTACTCCATTATCTACATCTTCAAGATTAGTAGTAAATACCTCACCAGCTCAGTCGGACATCTCTACCCATCACCCTACTCCATTATCTACATCTTCAAGATTAGTAGTAAATACCTCACCAGCTCAGCGGGACATCTCTACCCATCACCTCACTCCATTATCTACATCTTCAAGATTAGTAGTAAATACCTCACCAGCTCAGTCGGACATCTCTACCCATCACCCTACTCCATTATCTACATCTTCAAGATTAGTAGTAAATACCTCACCAGCTTAGCGGGACATCTCTACCCATCACCTCACTCCATTATCTACATCTTCAAGATTAGTAGTAAATACCTCACCAGCTCAGTCGGACATCTCTACCCCTCACCCTACTCTATTATCTACACCTTGGAGATTCGTAGTAAATACTTCACCAGCTCAGTCGGACATCTCTTCCCATCACCCTACTCTATTATCTACATCTTGGAGATTAGAAGTAAATACCTCACCAGCTCAGTCGGACATCTCTACCTATCACCCTACTCCATTATCTACATCTTTAAGATTCGTAGTAAATACCTCACCAGCTCAGTCGGACATCTCTATCCCTCACCCTACTCTATTATCTACATCTTGAAGATTAGCAGAAAATACCTCACCAGCTCAGTCGGACATCTCTATCCCTCACCCTACTCCATTATCTACATCTTTAAGATTAGCAGAAAATACCTCACCAGCTCAGTCGGACATCTCTATCCCTCACCCTACTCCATTATCTACATCTTTAAGATTAGTAGTAAATACCTCACCAGCTCAGTCGGACATCTCTACCCATCACCCTACTCCGTTATCTACATCTTCAAGATTCGTAGTAAATACCTCACCAGCTCAGTCGGACATCTCTACCCATCACCCTACTCCATTATCTACATCTTCAAGATTAGTAGTAAATACCTCTTCAAAAACAGCTCAGTTGGACATCTCTACCCATCACCCTACTCCATTATCTACATCTTTAAGATTAGTAGTAAATACCTCACCAGCTCAGTCGGACATCTCTACCCATCACCCTACTCCATTATCTACATCTTCAAGATTAGTAGTAAATACCTCACCAGCTCAGTCGGACATCTCTACCCATCACCCTACTCCATTATCTACATCTTTAAGATTAGTAGTAAATACCTCACCAGCTCAGTCGGACATCTCTACCCATCACCCTACTCCATTATCTACATCTTCAAGATTAGTAGTAAATACCTCACCAGCTCAGTCGGACATCTCTACCCATCACCCTACTCCATTATCTACATCTTGAAGATTAGTAGTAAATACCTCACCAGCTCAGTCGGACATCTCTACCCATCACCCTACTCCGTTATCTACATCTTCAAGATTCGTAGTAAATACCTCACCAGCTCAGTCGGACATCTCTACCCATCACCCTACTCCATTATCTACATCTTCAAGATTAGTAGTAAATACCTCTTCAAAAACAGCTCAGTTGGACATCTCTACCCATCACCCTACTCCATTATCTACATCTTTAAGATTAGTAGTAAATACCTCACCAGCTCAGTCGGACATCTCTACCCATCACCCTACTCCATTATCTACATCTTCAAGATTAGTAGTAAATACCTCACCAGCTCAGTCGGACATCTCTACCCATCACCCTACTCCATTATCTACATCTTCAAGATTAGTAGTAAATACCTCTTCAAAAACAGCTCAGTTGGACATCTCTACCCATCACCCCACTCCATTATCTACATCTTTAAGATTAGTAGTAAATACCTCACCAGCTCAGTCGGACATCTCTACCCATCACCCTACTCCATTATCTACATCTTCAAGATTAGTAGTAAATACCTCACCAGCTCAGTCGGACATCTCTACCCATCACCCTACTCCATTATCTACATCTTTAAGATTAGTAGTAAATACCTCACCAGCTCAGTCGGACATCTCTACCCATCACCCTACTCCATTATCTACATCTTCAAGATTAGTAGTAAATACCTCACCAGCTCAGTCGGACATCTCTACCCATCACCCTACTCCATTATCTACATCTTGAAGATTCGTAGTAAATACCTCACCAGCTCAGTCGGACATCTCTACCCATCACCCTACTCCATTATCTACATCTTCAAGATTAGTAGTAAATACCTCTTCAAAAACAGCTCAGTTGGACATCTCTACCCATCACCCTACTCCATTATCTACATCTTTAAGATTAGTAGTAAATACCTCACCAGCTCAGTCGGACATCTCTACCCATCACCCTACTCCATTATCTACATCTTCAAGATTAGTAGTAAATACCTCACCAGCTCAGTCGGACATCTCTACCCATCACCCTACTCCATTATCTACATCTTCAAGATTAGTAGTAAATACCTCACCAGCTCAGTCGGACATCTCTACCCATCACCCTACTCCATTATCTACATCTTCAAGATTCGTAGTAAATACCTCACCAGCTCAGTCGGACATCTCTACCCATCACCCTACTCCATTATCTACATCTTCAAGATTAGTAGTAAATACCTCTTCAAAAACAGCTCAGTTGGACATCTCTATCCCTCACCCTACTCCATTATCTACATCTTTAAGATTAGTAGTAAATACCTCACCAGCTCAGTCGGACATCTCTACCCATCACCCTACTCCGTTATCTACATCTTCAAGATTCGTAGTAAATACCTCACCAGCTCAGTCGGACATCTCTACCCATCACCTTACTCCATTATCTACATCTTCAAGATTAGTAGTAAATACCTCTTCAAAAACAGCTCAGTTGGACATCTCTATCCCTCACCCTACTCCATTATCTACATCTTTAAGATTAGTAGTAAATACCTCACCAGCTCAGTCGGACATCTCTACCCATCACCCTACTCCGTTATCTACATCTTCAAGATTCGTAGTAAATACCTCACCAGCTCAGTCGGACATCTCTACCCATCACCTTACTCCATTATCTACATCTTCAAGATTAGTAGTAAATACCTCTTCAAAAACAGCTCAGTTGGACATCTCTACCCATCACCCCACTCCATTATCTACATCTTTAAGATTAGTAGTAAATACCTCACCAGCTCAGTCGGACATCTCTACCCATCACCCTACTCCATTATCTACATCTTCAAGATTCGTAGTAAATACCTCACCAGCTCAGTCGGACATCTCTACCCATCACCTTACTCCATTATCTACATCTTCAAGATTAGTAGTAAATACCTCTTCAAAAACAGCTCAGTTGGACATCTCTACCCATCACCCCACTCCATTATCTACATCTTTAAGATTAGTAGTAAATACCTCACCAGCTCAGTCGGACATCTCTACCCATCACCCTACTCCGTTATCTACATCTTCAAGATTCGTAGTAAATACCTCACCAGCTCAGTCGGACATCTCTACCCATCACCTTACTCCATTATCTACATCTTCAAGATTAGTAGTAAATACCTCTTCAAAAACAGCTCAGTTGGACATCTCTACCCATCACCCCACTCCATTATCTACATCTTTAAGATTAGTAGTAAATACCTCACCAGCTCAGTCGGACATCTCTACCCATCACCCTACTCCATTATCTACATCTTCAAGATTAGTAGTAAATACCTCACCAGCTCAGTCGGACATCTCTACCCATCACCCTACTCCATTATCTACATCTTCAAGATTAGTAGTAAATACCTCACCAGCTTAGCGGGACATCTCTACCCATCACCTCACTCCATTATCTACATCTTCAAGATTAGTAGTAAATACCTCACCAGCTCAGTCGGACATCTCTACCCATCACCCTACTCCATTATCTACATCTTCAAGATTAGTAGTAAATACCTCACCAGCTCAGTCGGACATCTCTACCCATCACCCTACTCCATTATCTACATCTTCAAGATTAGTAGTAAATACCTCACCAGCTCAGTCGGACATCTCTACCCATCACCCTACTCCATTATCTACATCTTCAAGATTAGTAGTAAATACCTCACCAGCTTAGCGGGACATCTCTACCCATCACCTCACTCCATTATCTACATCTTCAAGATTAGTAGTAAATACCTCACCAGCTCAGTCGGACATCTCTACCCATCACCCTACTCCATTATCTACATCTTCAAGATTAGTAGTAAATACCTCACCAGCTCAGTCGGACATCTCTACCCATCACCCTACTCCATTATCTACATCTTCAAGATTAGTAGTAAATACCTCTTCAAAAACAGCTCAGTTGGACATCTCTACCCATCGCCCTACTACATTATCTACATCTTGAAGATTAGAAGTAAATACCTCACCAGCTCAGTCGGATATCTCTACCCATCACCCCACTCCATTATCTACATCTTTAAGATTAGTAGTAAATACCTCACCAGCTCAGTCGGACATCTCTACCCATCACCCTACTCCATTATCTACATCTTCAAGATTAGTAGTAAATACCTCACCAGCTCAGTCGGACATCTCTACCCATCACCCTACTCCATTATCTACATCTTCAAGATTAGTAGTAAATACCTCACCAGCTTAGCGGGACATCTCTACCCATCACCTCACTCCATTATCTACATCTTCAAGATTAGTAGTAAATACCTCACCAGCTCAGTCGGACATCTCTACCCATCACCCTACTCCATTATCTACATCTTCAAGATTAGTAGTAAATACCTCACCAGCTTAGCGGGACATCTCTACCCATCACCTCACTCCATTATCTACATCTTCAAGATTAGTAGTAAATACCTCACCAGCTCAGTCGGACATCTCTACCCATCACCCTACTCCATTATCTACATCTTCAAGATTAGTAGTAAATACCTCACCAGCTCAGTCGGACATCTCTACCCATCACCCTACTCCATTATCTACATCTTCAAGATTAGTAGTAAATACCTCACCAGCTCAGTCGGACATCTCTACCCATCACCCTACTCCATTATCTACATCTTCAAGATTAGTAGTAAATACCTCACCAGCTCAGTCGGACATCTCTACCCATCACCCTACTCCATTATCTACATCTTCAAGATTAGTAGTAAATACCTCACCAGCTCAGTCGGACATCTCTACCCATCACCCTACTCCATTATCTACATCTTCAAGATTAGTAGTAAATACCTCTTCAAAAACAGCTCAGTTGGACATCTCTACCCATCGCCCTACTACATTATCTACATCTTGAAGATTAGAAGTAAATACCTCACCAGCTCAGTCGGATATCTCTACCCATCACCCCACTCCATTATCTACATCTTGAAGATTAGTAGTAAATACCTCACCAGCTCAGTCGGACATCTCTACCCCTCACCCTACTCTATTATCTACATCTTGAAGATTAGCAGAAAATACCTCACCAGCTCAGTCGGACATCTCTATCCCTCACCCTACTCCATTATCTACATCTTTAAGATTAGTAGTAAATACCTCACCAGCTCAGTCGGACATCTCTACCCATCACCCTACTCCGTTATATACATCATGAAGATTCGTAGTAAATACCTCACCAGCTCAGTCGGACATCTCTACCCATCACCTTACTCCATTATCTACATCTTCAAGATTAGTAGTAAATACCTCTTCAAAAACAGCTCAGTTGGACATCTCTACCCATCACCCCACTCCATTATCTACATCTTTAAGATTAGTAGTAAATACCTCACCAGCTCAGTCGGACATCTCTACCCATCACCCCACTCCATTATCTACATCTTTAAGATTAGTAGTAAATACTTCACCAGCTCAGTCGGACATCTCTACCCATCACCCTACTCCATTATCTACATCTTCAAGATTAGTAGTAAATACCTCACCAGCTCAGCGGGACATCTCTACCCATCACCCTACTCCATTATCTACATCTTTAACATTAGTAGTAGATACAACCGATTCACTTTTAAGTATAAGAGGTAAAATCAATTGTGATTCATTGTTCGCTGAATACGAAATATCGGTAGTTGGATTTTATCAGAAGGCTACTTGTAATCTTAACAGGTATGGCTGATCACAAGTCTTAAAATGATGAATGAGGAAAGAAACCACACCGGATTACTTTCATTGCACATTAAATATTTCTAGTTGAATTGTAAACCCCCAGAAAATCTATATATACAAACTGAGTTCGGATCAGCTCATGTTGAACTAGGTGAGAGTTTCGTGGCAGTGAGCGTTTCGAACAAGACTACGTGGTGTGTGACATCGATTGCCGTACTGGTGTTAGGTGTATCTGTTCTTCAGAATGTGGAATTCAACGGTGTGTCCCAATAACAATGTCTTCCTTTATTTTAAGACATTTGACAGGATCCATTCATCAATTTGGATGTAATGGGGCCTTTATATTGTAGAATTAATACTTCACAGTATCATAATCAGTCCTCCTCGCCTTATAATTCTACCGACAATAACGGTGTGTAGCAATCTAGATACACATCTAATACTAACAACTGCCCATGTGACTAATGGTGGAACCGAATGATGCTTGTTAATATAATGAGTTCGTACATTATTTATATCTCTCCTACATTGTCTAATGATTATATTGTATTATGCACACACTGTTCAATATACATTTACAGTGTACAGTGAAACTTGAACGAATTTCAATGGGATAGCTTTGACTGATTTGATCAGATAACTTAACGTTGTATTTCTAGACACTTTGTTTTATGGAAATTCAAAATTTGCATATATTGGTTAGTTATCACTTAAAATCACTTGGATTATAACAGTTCAGATTAAATAGGTTTGGCTTCCTGCGACTTCTGATCGGTGGTCTGTTCTGGATTCCTGCTGTTGGTGCTGTGTCTTTGATAAATACAAAATTAATAGCGACCGCGGTGGCCAAGTGATTAAGGCATCTGACATTATGCTACAACTGACCATCCACCACTAGGTTGCAGGTTCGAGATCTACGTGGGGCAGTCGCCAAATACGGACCGTATGTCTCTAGGAACTCTAGGCTTTCCTCCTGCCACGTCCTTAAATGACCCTAGCTGTTAATAGGAAGTAAAATACAAACAAACCAAAAGTTGATTGATACACATTATCCCGATTGTTACAGTGTAAGTTGATGTAAAATGGGGTACCAGCAACCATGTAAAAAACTGGCATATTTCAAGTTATGTATGATTCTCTCCTTGCAACATGAAATAGGCTACATGGGATTTCTATCAGCCACAGTGTAGGGTTCAGAAGTTACTCTATAGGCTGTAAAAGGGTAAGGCACAATTGTTGATGCACACCTTCAATCCCCCAATATTTCCCAGGTAATCAGATCAAGAGTATTGCTTATGACCGAACACTTCATCTGGTTATTTTGTCAGTCAACCTGTAATTGAATTACAAAAATAAATGCATGATGTGATAAAATGTTGTGAAAAGTCATTCAGTGTACTGTATTACAATCAGTGATTGTAAGGACATGGAACATCGACTTTCTTACCCTGGACAGCTGTTGCCACACTTTAAATGGTGTGAGATATCCTTATCGCACCCTTGGGTTGTGACAGGGGGATTCCCCTATTCATAACAATGGTGTGACGTCATGTCAACACTATCACGACGTCACGTCAACAATCCATCAATGTCACGTCAACCCTGAATTTATCCGGTTACTTTAAAATAAAATTATAATTCATATGATTCATAATGGGTGAACAGGGTCAGAGAAAAATAATATCTCATCCCCTTGAGGGTTTGATGGGGAATCTCTACCCTCGGGGGAAGATTCTTAAGCTGCCAAACACTCGACAAAGTCTCGTGTTTTGCAACTTAAGAATCTTCCCCCTCTGGTTGAGATTCCCCTATCACACCCACAAGGGGTGGGGGATTCTATTTATCTCAGCCAGACTGAATAATTTGAGGATGTAGGACATCTGTTCTCAGAATGGATAACTTTCTAAGGGACATGATAATTTAAGATTTCGTATCTGTTTCTTCTGTACATTTATATTACCATTAATATGTAATTTTATTAGCACACCTGGCCGGACGGGTCATATGAGCTTATGCCGTACTGCGGCGTCCGTCGTCCGTCCATCCGTCAACTTTTTAGCTCACCGGGTCCGAAGGACCAAGGTGAGCTTATCCCATACCGTGGCGTCCGTCGTCCGTACGTCAATAAGTTTTTTAAACGGCCTAGGTGGTGGGGATTCAAAATTGTACAAATGGTGACAAATTCTTCAAGAATGACTCAACAATTTAGTACAAGTTAAAGTGGAATTTATTTGTGGACTTTCAAGTGTCAAGGTTACAATACAAAAGTACACTCCAGAGCGGCCTGAGAGGTTACCTGTACAATTTAATCTACGTTGAGCTAAGTTGTCTCCCTTCGACTCATTGACAATGTGATTATAAATAAATGAATAGGTTGTTGATTATGACAAAATAAGTTGTATCTCTTAAATGCATGTTTCAGACAGAAGCTACCTCATTACTTTTATTCAAGATTCTTTTACTAAACTATTTAGTTGCACCTAGTATTTATGATCCTTGTACATTTCTAATTTCTCCTAGTACATTTTTCCTAGTGAACTCTAGGTAAATTTCTCCGCAGTACTCCTAGTACATATCTACTAAGTACTCCTATTCCATTTCTCCTAATATATTTCTCCTTTTTACCTTAGCTCCAGCCTTCTGCTCCTTCTCCATTTCTGCTTGATTAATTATTTCCGCTGCCTGCTTGGCCTGCTTTATCTGAGGTCAAAATGACACTTATGATTTACCTGATCTCATTGAGGTCAACTTGACACTGCCTGCTTTGCCTGCTCTCTTTGAGGACAAATTGACACTGAGACTTTGAATCTCCCGGCTGCCAATTCATAGAAAGTGCTAGCCAATCATATTGCTTCAAATTACTGACACGCGTGGACTTGTCGTCTGCTCATACACATTGGTTCAATATGCACAGACTTCACCTCGTATTGAAACACTTATATCGTTAATTAACATACTCACAACATAATACTACGATCGTATTTGGATTGAATACTTGTATCATGATACAAGTAATGAAATACAACAATATGATATCATTTACAGACGAAATTACGGTAACATTAAGAGAACAGATTCGGTGTTCATATCGGACTATGGACGCTTTCGGCATACGAATCTTGGTCATAAAAGACTTTAACAACATCTCACATTATGAATTAAAATATCATACGTATATAGGATGACACAGTCTAATGAAATATAACAATCTCAAAGTATTCAATGTGAATTCGTGTACACTAATAAAACAATAATACACTTTCTTACTAAATGTACAGGACATGATAACACAAATTTCTGAGATACATGTATTAAGCCAACAGACAAACCAATGTGTACATATTGATTTAACGGATTTAAAATCCTGAAGAATTAAACAGCAAGTTATTTGCAATTCAATCTAATGTGGGTTCATGTGCAACCAGTAGAGCAGACCGCAGAGAGGAAATTGTCCTCTCGCGACTGCTCATTGGTCATACCTAAATCACACATGGCTACATTGTGCGTAAGGAAGACCAGCGTTGTTGTCATGCATGCGATGAACCATTAACAGTCAAACACTTTATGATTGAACGCGCTGATTTCAAACAAATAAGTGACAAATTTTATGATGTACCGTCTATGAAAAGATTATTATCCCCCGCTTTCACCGAAACGGGGGATAATAATTTGGGTTTGTCGGTCTGTCTGTCACGCTTCGGTTCCGTGCAATAACTGAAACAAATGTTAACCGATTTTCAAACTTGGTAACAGGGTTAAATTCCTTAAGGGCTCGGCCAAGTCATTATCTGCCGTTTCTGTTGATTAACTTTCGCAAATATTTTTGACAACCTCTTTAATCGGACTCCATTTGGCAGAGGTATGGCTCCTTGATTAACAAAAAACGTCATTGTCTACAGTTTCTGTATAAGGCTTTTTTTCTTCGAGTTTCAATTTATACATGAGGTCTCAACAATACGATACTCACATGTTTAAACCTAACCTCAATAATGTTTACCTGCGATTTGTCCTGTAAGCGGAGGATATAAATTCCACGAATGTGCTTGTTGAATTAATATTTGAATATTTACACTATTGATCTTTACAATAAAATATGATATATTGTGGAATCAATTTGTTCGATATCGATGTGTTTCATTAATCCTTTACATATTTTAAGCTATTAAATGTTGGTTTGGTGTGTTTATTGTCGTGAATGACTCTTTGTATAGTGGTTTTGCCCTAAATGACTCACATTGTCGATGGGCCGTTAAACAATACAAAAACAAACAAAACAAAACAAACGTTTATTTTATAACGTTGTTGCCCAAGTAAAACGTTTATTTTACATTTTAATTGATTTATCTTATATTTTTGTTTAGTTAAATCTTATTTGCAATATTTTGTGTACGTGGAATAATTTGTTTTCGCAGTTACCTAACCTCATGCTGAACTTTTTACTGCTTATTTCTAACAAAGTAGCACTCTAAAGTTGGCATATAACCGTCATATCGCAAGGAGGCACATTAATCAACATACCCTGCCTCCAGTGCAGATGCACACAAGCACGTATACGTTACACACATGAACAAACAGTGCTGGATCCGTAACCCCATTGAATATCACTATCAAGGTTACACAGTAATCAAAACTCCACAAGTCAAGTCAAGGAATGCAGTCAAATTATCTCACAAAATATACTTTTCGGCTCAGCGTCGACACATGTGCTGTCACGTTGAATGTTTCGATACTATATAGGTGGCATTCTGTAGTATCGGTATCGAACATGAAACTTCCACAGGACTTGTACTTGTAACACACCTTCCCACACTGTCCGTTGTTAGGAGCCGTTGTTTGGTGTATCACAGGAAGCACTTTGTCCGGAATACCAAGTTTCCCAATCCAACACGCTCTACCTAAAACTAATATAATAGGACGATTAGACAGAACGAAAAGTAATATGTAAAACTTTGATCGGACATCATTCTATTAACATTGTTAACCTGTGCAGGTTGGGGGAAAGAATAGAACTGGTGAACCGCTTACTTATTGGGGGATTGACAAAACACTACCTGCTCTTACAAACTCGCTGCATAATTTATAAGTAACGACTACTTTGTGAACCTAATGCAGATTGCGTATTTTTCTTTACTTTTATACATTGAAGACAACAGTGAGGTATTGCCAAGCAAATCACTCAAATCCCAAATATTGCGATGAGTTAAAGATTAATTTTGGTTGCTATTAATTTCTCTAATAAAGGTCACAAAAGTAAATCCCCAATTCTCCATGGGTTCCTACATAAGTCGCCTCTTAAGATACATGCAATGAGAAACAGCAGGGGCATTTTTCGATCCCCGATTTTTAGATATTTTCCCTCTTGCAATGGAAATAAATTGTGAAGAATGCAAAATTTGTCTTTTCCGGTACATATCATAAATACCTTTACAAAACATTCTAATTACATGAATCAAGTTGGTTAGTAATGCCTTCTGCTTTTATCTAAAAAAGCACGTTAGTCTTACTTGAAAACAAGAAATCATTTATGCAATACATTATTGTTTCCAAACCACACTGACCTCTGACAATATGAGAGTATGACCGTTAGTCTTACTTGAAAACAAGAAATCATTTATGCAATACATTATTGTTTCCAAACCACACTGACCTCTGACAATATGGGAGTGTTGTAGAACCCATGTATATAGCCTTTATGAATAACGTAGACAAGAACAACGGTTTTATTGCGTTTGTGAAGCATCACCTTACTGAGTGATTTAACTTCAATTGATTACAGCAGAAGACCAATGCTAGGCCTGCAACATAAAAAAAAGAATATTTAAACTTCGTTTAGTATTGCATACCTGTATGACCTTCAATGTTGATGAGCTGTTCTATTTTTAATCAAAATCAATATAAACAGACGTTGTAAACAACATACATTTTGGACATCCAAGAATCTCAAGATGAAAGGAAGGATAGCTGAACCACGTTTCCGGATGGATGCGAATAAATTTGGCCAGGATGTTTTCGTTCACAGCACGAGTCACTAGTGTCGTCCCGTCATTGGCTGCTTGGTAAATCTAAGCAAAACAAACAAACATAACCTCGAAAACGAGATAAATGACAACAATATGTGGTCTCTGCTCAGCCTGTTTAATGTAATAAAGTGTTTACATTTCTCGCGCAATTTTTATTGTTCTTTTTGCAAATTTTATCTTCTTATTTGCTTTTTATGTAACTTATTTTGATTTACTTCTCTCCTACCCAGCCCCCGAATGTCTTCTGTTTAAAGGACAGTGAAGACAAGAAAAGACCTGTGTCTTTCTTTTTATGTTCTGTGTCTTCCAATAATTTAAGAGGACGACATGTACAGTTGTTNGTGTGCACGATGGGCGAACGATAAAAAGCTGGACGATCATTGCTTGCGCACATCTGTGCGCACGATGGACGGACGTTGTGCGATAACAATCGTGGTTGGTGTAAATTGAGGAATGCCTTAACAATTTATACGGTTTCATGTTTAAACATATAAACTTGATGTTTACGTATGTTTCTATATTCTAGCAACATCTATAAACTTATCTTTCTGTCTATACATTCTTATATTTAGAAATTGTTTTGTCTGTGTTTTTAAACAAACTTAATCGACACATGTAAAATTACAACTCGTCGGGTAAGGCCGAGGGTGTGAAAATCCAGGTGAAGGGGAGCTATAGGCAAACAAATGCAAATAACAAATACTATTCATTACGGTCAAACGGTATCGCATATCAGCTCTGTGTGTCAGCACTGGTCAGGTAAAACTCCGGACACTCATCAAATTGTTATTTACCTGTTCTGTTACCTTGGAGCCAAACCCATTCTTGACAGCCTAATTGTCGCTGTAATACTGTGTAACACGCATTGTGAAATTGTATAATCTCAATTATTGTGATGAGAAATTACAGATATATACATCGCGTACAAGTGAAGCCTTACGTATCTTTGTCATTCCGTAATTTTGATCTATAAATGATACCAAATCGCACAGTTGTGCGGAGTGAAGCGCACAACTGGGCGAACGATTGCTAAATCGCACAGTTGTGCGCACCATGTGTGAACGATGTGTGCGGACGGTGTGTGAACGATGTATGCACGGTGTGCGCACGCTATTTTTGGTGCGTTGTGCGGTCCCACAACTGTAAGATACCAAAAGTAATCTGCTGTCCTCTCTTGGGGTCGTTTTCGTTTCTTATCTTTCTTTTTTCCCTGTATTTCCTTTCTACAATCTATCTTGATGGTTGTGCCCCCTAGACATCCGTTCTTATATACTCCATAATGTTTAACGCGTTAATATTTGTGTCGAGAGACCGTAAAGCCTTAATAAAGAATTTTGCAGAGCAGACGTTTGACCTTAAGCCATTTTTTCATATGTTAACTTACTTGACGATTCCTTAAACGTAACAACTGACTGTCTCATTTTATAAAACATTTAAACTTTTAACTGCTTTCGAATTAATTTCCAATATGTTTTGTTCAATCTGTATAGGTTCTAAATGTTTCTTCTAGGGGAACGACGGAGAAAGAAAAGGTGGTTAAAGCAGAATCACTACTTCTCCTGTGAGGAAAATGAAGAGACCAAAATATCTGCTGCCTCCATGACAACATGTATGATAAATGTGTCTGGATATAATACAGGGATACAATATAATATATAAAATATTATAAATATTTATATGTAGTACCCGCCGTTAGCGACTTCATGTGGTTTATTTCAAAAACTAAGTTTATATGAAGACGGACGCCTTGAGTTTGGTATAATTTGATATGGTTTAGGTTCCTGTCATCGTTTAAGGTCATTTAAGAACGTGCCTCTGTGTTTGTTTGCCCTCATCCCTTCGCCGAGGTAAGGAAAACTTTTGGATTGTCCCCTGGCGGGCCTATATCAAAATCCTTTAAAATGGTAGTTTTGTAATCCCTGCTTTTCATTCAGCATTTAAGAGAATGGCAACAACTGTAGCCAGCGGAATGGTGACTCCATGTGTGCAGTGTATGTGTGCTTGCGTGTGTGTTTGCAGGAGACAGAGTATGTTGGTGTGCTTGCCTCATTGTGATAGCGCGGATCTAATGCCGACTTTATAGTGCTATTCTAATGAAATACCTTGCCGAAGGCACCTAGCACAGCATTCCGCGCGGTCCCATAATACTGACAACGGTTGAGCCAGTTGTTGTCATTACCCTTAATGCTGGACGTTAAGTAGAGAATAACAACTACCATTGGTAAGGACTTTGGTATGTCCCGGCCTTGGGAGAGACCCATTGCCATCCTCATCTGGGCGAACGCTCTCAACATTCAAGCCCAAAGTGACGCCTGCTGTTGCCCACGGCATTATCGTAGGAGGCGACAAATTAGAACCCCCTACAGAATTGGGTATTTGCTTTGGTGTCCTCTATTTAGGGATACAAAAGCGACCACAATAAATTTTGGTGTGCCAATTGCAATATTTGGAATCTTTATCTTTCTTTCTGCATCTAACATTTAATAAAACAAATGCGTCACAAATTAACTATTTTGCATTAACTATGAAATAGTTTTTCAACTGATACCAATCACTCTTGTTTGCACGAATGGAAGGTATATTTGCAATTACAATATCTACTGCACCGCCGACCTACCAAATTTTAAAATGTATGCACTATACAAAATATGTTTGATATAGTTTCGTTGCTATGAACACATTAACATTTTGATTCAATTGATATTTGTAATAAGATAATATTACATTCTACAACAATGTTCTTATACAAGTAAATGATGATTATGGTGTTCACAGTATTGTTAGCCCGTTATGCTTAAAGTAAACAATAGGTGATCAGACAGTGCAACACGTGGAAGTTTAAACTAATACACACATGAAAAAATAGGTTCAACCTTTTTGTTCCCTAGATTGTCGGTGACGTCACTCCAACTGATTCCGTCCTGACTTGTTTTCATTGTGAGGGATGTTAAATATTGCTGTACCCTGCCTTGGATCACGAGGGCCGTCACAGCAGACATGTGTTGGAATTCAACCTATGCAAGGAAATAATGTATTAATAAAGCATATCAACCATTTAGCACATACAAATCAACTAAGATAGAGTCGGGGAAACGAGGTTTGTTTCGGATTTGTTCTTCAATTTTGTTGTGTTTTGGGTTTTCGTCCTCGCAACAGTCAATAGCATATGAAGATTGGTGGCAAGCTAGAGTGACATCACCAAAAGTAAGAGTAGGTAAGAGACAAAGTCTGATCGAAAAAGACATTCAAAGTGTCAATAGAGGGTGGGATGGGCAGGAGATCGATTTTTGCCTTTTCAGTGTCTTCTTAGTGGAAGACATTGAAGGAAACTCGGATTCGGCAGTAGGTCCCATATGGGTGGCCTCTTGTAGTAATTGGGTTTTTCGCAGGTTAAACGGCCTTTCGACAAAAGGTCATTTTGGCCTTAAATGTTGAAGTTGTCGGGGAATTGTGAAAGCTGCATTATTTCATAGAGCCCTATTTCTGTGTGTAATTAAAACTTGTTGTCACTGTGATTTTTTCATATAGTTTTTTCATGTTTTGTACATAAAACATGTTTAAGATCGGTACACGTGCTCATAAAATGTTCAGTAGCGAGTGTATGATCACAAGTGTACATGGTTAATGCATGTATGTCCCGTTCTAAACTACCGTTTCTTTGCTATTGTTTTAATGACAATGCATAAATATGTTGAACTAATACGTGTTGTGAAAGTGTAGGTTTTGTCGCCTTATTAACTTTCACATTTTCACTAATTTCAACATAACCTATTACCCAGCAAAGGGTAATTGTCTCTCAAACTTCCTTGTTTGGTAAATTTTGTTAAACGCTCTAACGTTCGTAATCAAGTCATGCAAGGACGTGCATATATGCGTGTACGAGTGCTTGAGGCAGGGTATGAAAGTATTTGTAATTGTATTGTTTAACGGCCCATCGACACATTTGAGTCATTTAGGGCCAAATAACAATGTAAAAAGGTTTAAATGTGTAAAATATGTCAAAATATATCAATACGACAATAGCAAACGAATCGTTTAAGAAATAGCTTTTAATAATTGAATGTTAATAATCATAGATTGAATGCACAGAAACTATATCAAATAAAAGTTTCACAGATGGTTTTTGTTTTTTGTTTTTTTGTTTTGTATTGTTTAACGGCCCATCGAAAATGCGAGTCATTTAGGGCCAACAATACTGCAAAAAAGACATTCACAAAAATAAACACATCAAACAAAAATTTGATAGCTTAAAATATGTAAAGGATTAAAGAAATACATCAATATCGAACAAATTGGTTGCACAACATATCATATTTTATTGTAAAGATCAATAGAGTGTAAATAGTCATATATTAATTGCACAGAAACTGTATAAAATAATCTTTTTATAGACGGTACATCATAAAATCAGTCACGTATTTGTTTGAAATCAGCGCATTCAATCATGAAGTGTTTCACTGTAAATGGTTGATCACATGCATGAAAATAAGGCTGGTCTTCCTTACGCAAAATGTAACCATGTGTAATGTAGGTATGGCCTATGCAGTCGCGAGAGGACAATTTTCTCACTGCGGTCGGCTCTACTTGTTGCATATAAACCCACATTAGGTTGAATTCCAAATAAATTGCTGTTTAATTCTTTAGACCATTTATTTTGCCAATTCGTTTTAATACAATTTGTTATAGAAGGTTTAATATCAGAAAAGGGCAGTTTAATATCTTTTGGATGTAGGTTAAGGGCTGCTCATGTCCGTTTATTCCGACATGACCTGGTATCCAAATCAAGATCAGGCGGCAAAACAATAAAAATCTGTTAATAAGAAGGGCGATGTTTTGTATGAGAATGTTGTTCAAATTGCATTTTTTAATACTTTGTATTAGTGAAAGAGTAAGAACAAATTATTGCTGTGTTAATTTTATTATTTTCATCCAAAGCCAGATCAACGGCAGTAGTTTCAGCAGTAAAAATAGATGCATTTTTTTGGTAATCGACAGGAAAAAGATACGTTACCATCAACACATGCTGCTGTAACTTTTTTTCAAATATAGAGCTGTCCGTATATAAAAGTTTATGTGAAGTAAATCCCGAGATGAACTCGGAATAAAAGCTCTTGTATTGAACCAGGAGAGTGCCAGATTTTTTTTTATTATTGTGTAATTCTAAATTCACTTCAGGCAGTCAATACGTATTGTCCATGGTGGAATATCTGGTATTATAGTTATTTCGATTAATGATAGGTCTGAATCCGAATTTTCCAGTAGTTTTTGAAGTCGTATTCCAAAAGACGGGATAATTTCTCATTTCGTTCGAAAAGCTGTGTATACTTTGGATAAAATACTGATTGGAAAGCTGGGTTTTCTGGATTTGATTTTAACTGGTAAGCAAATTGTAGACATAATTTTGTTCTTTTATCACTAACATATCGCAGCCTCCCAAAACACACATGCATACATCTTGCACACATGGGAGTCCGTCCTTAAATGACCATAGACGTTAAACAATACTAAAACCAAAGCAAATCAAATTTGTATCAATAAGTGACGGTGCATTTGCTTCAACGCAGAGCTTGCAGCTGGTGATGTGCGAAAAGCACCTAAAACGAGACGAAGCTCCTGATGATGAAGTGGGTCAATAATTTGCAAATATGACTTGCGGGCTGACCCAAATAATGTTATAAAGGAACCATAATCAAGCTTTGAGCGAACAAGTGTGCGGTATTGAACCGGGAGAGTGCGAGATATTTTATAATAGTGTAATTCTAAATTTATTTGAGGTAGCTGAATTGTCCATGGTGGAATATCAGGTATTGAAGCAATGTCGATTGATTGTGGGTCTAAATTTGAAGATTCCAGTAATTTTTGAAATCGTACGCCAAAATGAATTAACGGTATTAATTAATTATAACGTTCATAATGTATTTGCATGAAGGCACGCACCCGGCAAGTATTCAGTAGATAAAGCTGGCAGCACTTAACCTCAATACGAAAGATATTAAACTGCCTTAATTTTATTAAAACAAACTGGCAAAGTAAATGGTCTAAAGAAAGAAACAATAAGATATTCGCACTTCAACCTAATGTAGATTCATGTGCAAAAGGTAGAGCAGATCGCAGAGAGGAAGTTGTCCTCTCGCGACTACGCATAGGGAAACCTACATCACACATAGCTACATTTTGCATGGGGAAGAACAACCTTGTTGTCATGTCTATGACCAACCATTTACAGTCAAACACTTTATAATTGAACGCCCTGATTTGAAACAAATACGTGACAGATTTTATAATGTACTCTCTATGGAACGTTTATTCGATATAGTTTCTGTGCAATCAATATATGATTATTTGGCAATCAATTTCCATAATAAGATATGGTATATTTTATCAACAATTCGTTTGCTTTCGATATCTTTTGACGTCTTTCAACATTTTAACCTTTTGTTTCTTTTTTTTAGCTCATCTGGTCTGTCAACTTTTCCTTTAAAATGCTACTAGTCCTGAACGGCTAATCAGATTTTGAGAAAATCTGGTCTGGAGCATCTTTAGGCCAAGGGGACTCAATTTTGTATAAATGGTGGATGTGGCCCTCTTGTGGCCAGAGGGGCGGGTCCAATAGGGGAAATGGAGGTAAATCTTTAAAATCCTTCTTCTACCATAGGGACTAAGATATTTCATCCTAATTTGGTCTGGAGCATTGTTGGGTCAAGGGGACTCAATGTTGTATAAAAGGTGGGTGTGGCCTCCCTGCGGGCAGAGAGGTGGGGCCCAAATTAGTCTGGAGTATTCTTGGGCCAAGGGAACTCAAGTTTGTATCAACAGTGAGTGTGCCCCCCCCCCCCCGAATTTTGTCCAAATTTGTCCAAAGTCTGACCCCCTGGGGGCAGAGAGGCGGGGCCTAAAAAGAGATATAGAGGAATAGCTTAAATATTGTTCTTCCGTTGGGATGAAATTTGAACAGTAGCATCCTATTTGGAAGGGAAATTTGTATACATGGTCGGTTTGAACACCCTGGGGCCTGAAGGTCGGGGCCGAGCAGTGGGAAAAAAATCCTTCTTTTTCTGTAGAAATGATAGGTTTTGATTACATTTGGGATGAAGCAGCCTTAGGTGAGGGGGGGGGGAACAATTTTGTATAAACGGCGGGTCTGACCCTGCTTGTGGAAGATAGGCAGGACCAAATAGGGAAAATAGAAAAAAAGCTGTAAAGTCCTTTTCCTTCTGTAGGGATGATGTCCATTTTTGGTCTAAAGCATCCTTGAGTAAAGGGGACCTAATTTTGTATCAACGATGGCTCTGACCCCCCTGGGGGCAGACGGGCGGGTCCCAATATGGTAAACATACACCTTTTACTTGAGTAATGACACGATTTTATCCAGTTGCATATGAATATAACCGCTGACTAACCATGTAACACTTTCAGTAACATCTGGCTGATCTATTTTGCTTACATTTCCAGGTGATACCCCTGGGCGTCTTGTTATGTATTTAGTTTTTTGTGAATGTCTATTTTTGCACTTTTGTTTGGCCCTAAATGACTCAAATTGTCGATGGGCCGTAAAACAATACAAAACAAACAACCAAACAAGCAATGTTCTAAATGCCGAATGTTCAGCAGGAATGACAACTACCATATTTCAGGATTAATGTCGATATAAAGGAGGTGTAGCGGATAGCATAGGTTCTTAAAAAATGTAAGACTGCATTGACTTTACCTGCAGGTATTCTGACTTTGATGCCCTGGCAGGACACCAAGCCTTGTTTAGGTCATTACCGTTGATCCTGACAAATCGGGGAAAGCATGTGCCGTCATTGTAAAAAGAAGACGCTGTAAGGGAATCGTCATTCGTTCCGTTAATCAGTTTATCAATACACTCGCAATCTACAACAGAAGAAAGATACTAGTTGAACGTTTTGACGCATTACCTGACCTTTTCCCAAATGGATTTTCCTCACTCTTGCATATCAATTTTATTCTTCAACAATAATGAAATAAGGTTTTAACGTTCTGTTAATCACTCTTAGCTTGGTGGCTAGGATGAGGCGCAGGGCGTCTAATTGTGGGAGTACCCTAAGAAAACAATCGTGGTCGGGCATGCTACCCAGTATCTCTTCACGGCCTAGAGGGGAGTCTGCTTAAAGCCGAGTGCGCTATTAACTACGCTACCCGACCATCCCATCTAATCTCCGGCATTTTTTCTCGATCTCTGACCAGCAGGGGTACCATGAAGCTACCGCGCTTGTTCTGAGAAATAATATGCCTGATGCAACGATACATTAACATGACGACACGATACGGATCACGATGCCGTGGTCACGCTAACGATACGTATCACGATACATATAGTAACAGTAGAAGCGAAGCAAAAAGATATGCTGCAAAGTTTTAATGACAATATTACTACTGGAAATAGAGTTGGTCAAAATGGGCATAACTTTAAATGTTTCATACAATATACATCTTTCGACATGCATGCCGAGCTGGAACTTCACTCACCATGTTGGAACTGATGAGTAGCCTAAATTCAGACACCACAAAATCCAGAAAATATCGTAGTTGTATCATGACCCCAAAAATAATTGTGTACCGTACCGTATTCAAAATATCGTGATATATCGTCGCACGATGTATCGTTGCAGTCCCAATCCCACTCCATGTTTCAAAAGAGAACAAGGCATCACAAATTGTGTACCATATATGAGGATTGGTTTTGGTTTGGTTTAATTATGTTTTTGCTGCGTTTCTTATTATAAAGTCACCCCGAAGGAAGTCCGGTGACTTGTTGTTATTGTTCCGTTTCTTACTTACTCTTATTATTCTTGTTTTTCTTCCGCCGCTTTTATCCGCGCTAAATCTCAGGCACTACTAATAGGATCCTTATTAAACTTTGCATACATAATCAGTACGATATCTAGTTGTGCATCTAACTCTTATTTTTCCGCGTCAACAATCATAGATGGCCGCCGCTGCTCTGATTGGCCGAAATCATATCCAGTAATAACATTCGTTCTATTTAACAGAACATAACGACACTTAGTGAAAAGGATGATAACGTCACACCGATCGTTTTCGACAAAAAATATTTCACTTTGAATTAAAAATGGCGGCCAAATGCAGGTTTCTGATTGGTCGAAATTTAGATATATTTTGATGAAATTTGGTATGTAGGTGAAGTGATGCACTACGAACAAAACTGCGGTGTTTGTTTTGTATAAAAACAAACTGGCTGCCGTTTCCTGGGCTCTGATTGGTCAAAAATTCATCGCGAAATCATATCACCAGTAATAACATTCGTTCTATTTATTCGAACATAATGAAACTCAGTGAAAGGGATTATAGCATCACAGCGCTCGTTTTCGACCAAAAAATAAATGACTTTGGATTCAAAATGGCGGTTAAATGCAGGCTTCTGATTGGTCGAAATAACAATATCGTCCAATTTTGATGAAATTTGGTATGTAGGTATAGTATGGCACTACGAACACAACTGCTGTGTTCGTTTTGTAAAAGAACAAAAATGGCTGTCATTTCCTGGCCTCTGATTGGTCCAATTTTCGATATTGTCTGATTTCCATGGAATTTGGTATGTAAGTATATGATGGGACATCGGTCACTTTCGTAGCCTGAGTTTCATATTTCGACAAAATGGCTGCCATTTCCTGGCCTCTCATTGGTCGAAATTTAAATATCGTCCAATTGTGATGAAATTTGGTATGTAGGTGAAGTATGGCACTAAGCACACAACTGCGGTGCTCATTTTGTGAAAGCAGGGGGGGGGGGGGGGGGGGGGGGGGGACTTCCGCTATTGCTCGCAATTGCAATTCTAGTTATTCTTATTATTATTTTCATTATTCTTATTTCTTCCACTTTCTTCTGCCGACGAGGTTTCCGATATTTTCTCGAAAACCTTACATGAGTGTTCGTGTATGACAGGCGTTTGGCAAGAGTATTTTTATTTTGGTATATAGGGATATTAGGGGACTGTGAATTGAACTGCATACGTTTGGTTGCCAGAGCAACCACACAGAGGATTCTGATTGGTTGCAATTTAGAAATTGCTCGATTTTGATGAAAATTGGTATATAGGGATATTAGGGGACTGCAAATTCAATTGTATACGTTTCGTTGCCAGAGCAACCACACAGAGGATTCTGATTGGCTGCAATTTAGAAATTGCTCAATTTCACTGAAATTTAGTATACATACATGTAGGTGTACTATAGCAATGCGATCCTTTTCTGATGCATCTTTGCGACTATGGGGGCATTTTGGGGGACATCTGTAATGGTCCCCCATTACAATTAGTACTTGTTTTGTTTAACGTCTAGTTAACAGCTAAGGTCATTTAAGGGGAAGCAGGGTAGTGGTCACGTGATTTTGAAAAATCACGTGACCGCAATCATAAAAATAGAACCGGAAGTACAAATGTCAGGAAGCCGAGGTAAACAAATATGGCAGACGACAGATGCGGTAGTCGCCGTTATATCAGGGTAAAGGGAAGACTGGCAAAGAAAGGGACTGTGAATAGGTCAGAAAATATGCGTTTTTTGAACGAGAAGAGTTACAGTACCAGCAACCAAGACCACGATTATGTGGCGATTCCACAACACAGACTTGACAGTACTATTTCATCACACACCGTTCAAGATCGCGATATTCATGTCAGCGAGAACGTGGAAATCGGACCAACGAAACCATGGTTTCAGGGACGAAGGGTGGTTGAGCTAGCAGTGCTGTCCGAAAATATGAATTGTGCCAAATGCAATTCGTGGCTTAGGTTTGTTGACATTGTTGACGAGGTAATTTACGGTATGGCAAGTTACCTTTACATATCATGTCCGAACAGTGCATGCCAGCATGTCAACTTGGTACCCACAGGAAAACGAAATTCAAACAAAGGCTTTGACGTCAACTCCAAAGTGTATCTAGGTAAGTAACAAAACCTAATCTTTCTTGATTTCTTTTCTTTTCATGTGATTTCTATCTTCTGTGCAAGACGATTCGGTCCTTTTCCAGTTTGGCCTCAGCTTCTCTATTATAAGATATTTCGCCCCAGAGAGAGAGAAAGAGTTTCCCCCACTCAAATTATAAGTTAGTTTAACCACAGCTGGCACTTGTATCTGGTATTTAATACCTGAGCTAAAATCCAAAATCCACTATGTACACAAATACAACATTGGCATTTGATTTTAGCTCTGGTATTAAATACAAGCTACAAATCATAAAATCATGGGTAGGTTGGTAAGGAAATTATTTTATTTTTTCAATTTTATTTTTATTTATATTGTAAGTAATTAAAATTCAAACAGAATACATGGTGAGATTTTTTTTTAAACAATTAACAAATATAAAAAAGATATCTTTCTGGAAAATGTCAGTACAATATTTTTCTGTAGGGGCTATTTTGGTGGGTATGTAGCTATAGATAGAGGAGGAAACAAACACTATTTTATGTATGGCCTTATAATTATATACACATAAGTATAACAATTGTTTATACATAATAAGCATGTTATTCAAAATGCTGATAATCCTTCTAGATATTTACAGTATGATTAAATTTGAACTAAATTAATATAACCTTCCATTTTTCAGCTATGTTAAATGCAGGAATGGGACCCAATCAAGTGGTTAAGTTTCTTTCTGGTTGTAACATACCTCCTGTAGATGCCTCTACACTACGCAAAATACAGAAGAAACTTGCCCCAGTAGTCATAAGTGCTGCAGAAACATCTTGTAATGATGCACAGAAGGAGGAACTTGACTGTTCAGTCTCTGATGGATTGGAAGTCAGCTTTGATGCTGGTTGGCAGAAAAGAGGTTCTGGATGGCAATATAACAGCCATACAGGTAAATGATAAATATATATTCACGAGAACTCTGTTTTTATAAATATCAAACAAAAAAACAGACTACAAGTTTAAATTGATTTTTGCATGTATTTAAAATAAAATTTCAGAACTCAAATTTTATTGAAAAAGCTAATTAGATTGGGTGTAGCAGGCATCCTCCCCACAAAATACATCAAATGATATGGCTAAGGTCTACTTATTATTTTTTATGTCTTCACTAATACTCCTATGCTATGCTATTTTTTACTTGGGGTCAAAATCAAAAGGTCAATGTCATATACATGTAATAATATTAATCTGTATAGTTTTGGGGTTGGGAGAGTCATATTAAGATGTCACCTAGTTTTTGTCATCCAACTTTTATTTCACTTTCATTAGATGACAGTGACAGTTCATTTCAATAATTGTTGTAGATGCAATGATATTCATGTTAACAAAATTGTGTTCTTTTTACCAGTTATAATTCAAAATAGAAGTTATTAATCTGTATTTTGTTTGGTTTCGCATTGAACTTTTTTTATCAAGGCAGTTCCCAAGTTGTTGTGAATGAAAAAGTGGGTCAGTTTTATTTCTTTGAATGCTTGAGTTTACAAAATAAAGGGAGATAACTTATAATTGACTAAATTTCAGGTCATGCAAGTCTTATTGGGGTCAACACTGGCAAAATTGTGGATTTTGACATGAGAACAAGAAGCTGTAGTGTGTGTCAGTATCACCAGGGAAGGACTGAGACAGTTCCAAATCATGAATGCAATGTAAATTGGACAGGTTTGTAGAATTAATCATAATTGTATGATACATAATGATAACATTTTGCATCTCCAATTCTCCATCAAACCCACTGGTACCAGTAATTTAAATTACAGGTAAATTAACCAGGTCAACTCTCTTCCTTAGGCCTCCATCATTACCTTAATTTTAAATATATTTTAACATAGATTAAAATGTGCAAGTCTTTGTCATCAATTATTATTTGCACTAATATCTTAATCATATTATGCATGTATTATTATGCATGTATTGAAATATTTACACTAGTGTTTTGTTTTTAATAAACACTGTATAAAATCATTTTCTATAATACAATTACTATAGTTCTTTCTGGGATGTATAAATTGTGGCATAACTAATTAGATTGTCATGTCATAATTGGACATTTTCCTGTACATGTGGTGTTCTTTAAAATAGTCATAAGATAATATTTATTATGCTTTGGAAATATCACATATTCATTTTTAAAGTGTAAATATATGGAACACCTGTAAACCATTTTGGGGATTATCAGTGACTTTGTAAATTATATTACCACATACTCAAATTGATGATATCACCACATTACATGAAAAATGGACAGTTTATTTCTAAAATGTGTGTGGTTGCGAGCAGATATTCGATTTTGACACATTATTTTATAATGTTTTTAGGATCAAGTAAAGGCATGGAGCCAGACATGGCATGTTCAATGATAAAAAGGATGGCAGATAAAGGATATGAAGTTGGTACTCTGCATGCTGATAATGACACCACAACTCAGTCCAGATTGCCCCCTTCCATTAAAAAGAAAGATGACAAAACCCATGTGAAGAAAAATCTTTCATCACGTCTATATAGCCTCTCCAAAACACATAAACAACTGAAGGCAAAAAATGTCATCCCTTATATCGTCAGATGTTTCATGTATACAATTTCAAAACATCAAAGCACAAAAGAGATCATGAAGTCAGAACTAGAAAAAATTGTTCCCCATATATTTGGAGACCACAGTCTGTGCTCACCATCCTGGTGCACATATAATAAGGATCCAGCAAAGTTCAGGTAATAATTATTATATTGTTTACATTTTATATAGTAACACCATTTTATAGGAATTTATCTACATCTTATTTATTCTGAATGGTTCTGCAGTACTTTCCTTTTAAAAAAAATCAATTTTTTTTCACCAATATATGACATAGCCACCACGTTATAGAACATGGTTATTTGAAAATCGTTTCAAAAGCTACATTACACATACAGTTATTATTAATACAACAGTAATTGATGGATCATCAGTGTATTAGCTTGTCTAAAAACGTTTTATTGCATCTTTCTTTACATATACTTATAGTTCTTGACTCATAGAAATGAAATAACAAATTTATCCTCTATCGTTATATTCAATACGCCTTACAGATACAAACATTTACCAAATGGAAAGGCACTATCTGGAGACATGTTGAAAGAGGAATTACAAAAGCTGACACAGATATACAAAGATAGAACAGACAGGCTTCTAAACCTTGGGTCAACACAAGCAAATGAAAGTTTTAATAACAGCGTTGCGAGTTTTGCTCCTAAAAACAGGTATATCATTTTCTTTAAAAGAAAACTGTTGTGATGATTCAGTTTTTATTATACAGAAACTTTTTGTTACAAGCACATATTGGTTTACTCCTATTACCATGAGACTGCATGGTGAGAAAGACCCGGTATATTTATACCCCTCGTTACAAAGTTAAGGGGTGGGGGGAGGGGGGTATATATACTTGAATCACTCTGTCTATACAAATTGTACGGGGTATTATAATTAGTTAGTCTATATGCGGCAATTCAACCTTCAAGGTGATAAATTTTCATATTGTTTTTGGTCAGGTTGTCTCTATGTCTATCTCACTGTTTGTCTCCAGAACTGTAACATTGGTCAAGAATAAAACACTTCATGTCAGATCAGGGTTAGGGTCAAGGGTGAATTTGACTATGATAGGTCTTTGCCACAGTTAGGGTCATAGTGTTTAATTAACACATCTCCTGTTTTCTTAAAAACCATATTGTTTATACAAAATCTATTGAACAGGATCTAATGTATGTTATTTTGATATAAAAATGCGATCATTGTGTCTTATTTTGAGGAACATTTTGATTTGTAAATAAAAGGAAACATAACATACACTTTCATGAATTTTTATGTGGTGAAAAATGGGAAAGTTGAGATACAAGCTAAATGTAGCCTGAATTGTTTTTAATTCTATATTGTGTTGTTATTCAGGTTTTATGGTGGTACCAAGTCCTTAAAAGCAAGAGTATCTTCTGCTGTGATGCAAAAGAATGAAGGCTATGGTTGGCTGAGCAAGGCAAGTGTTGACAACATAAAATAATCTCAATTTAGTTAAAAATGTCTTAAATTTGTTGATGCACTTTTCTGATAAAAAAATGTCTAAATTATACTAGATAGTGACTTAATTAATATTTTGTTAACAGAAAAGTCAAGGTCAAAGCTTCATATTTTGTAAGGGCTAGGGTCTTTGTAAAGGTCAAAGGTCAAATTTGCCATGATAGGACTTGGCCAAGGTCAGGAGCTTAGTGTTTTACTAACATATCTGCAATGGCTAATACAAGTAAATGGGATTACAGCCTTAGCTGTCTATACTACTGTCAATTTGAATTATGTTGACTCTTAATTGTTTTTCTTTCCAGGTAAATGAGAATGTCTTGCTTTCTCCTGGCAATATAACTAAATTACATGGAATACGGAGAGATAAAATAAGGAAAAATACCAGGGCTATGAAGTCTACAGTTTCTTTCAAAAGAAAACGTATCTCAAAAAAGGTATACAATATGCAATTCTAATAAACTTGTTAAAATAGTCAGCCTGACCTGTAAAACAAACTTTTTTTTTTGTCAAACAAACAAAATAGTTAAATACAAATGTCTAGTTTTGAGTGAATTGTACCAAGACTGAATACACCATTTTCCTGCATATTATTTTGACGAAATGTTTGAACAAAGTTTCATTTTTCTGCATTTTACAAAGATTCAGAAGGTTTGCCATGATAAGGGAGAATCTGTGAAGGAGGGCGATACTTATGGAGTGGAAATCGAAGTCCAAGGACAAATAGATACAGAGACAATTCCTTCCAAGATCAAACTTACTGGTGAAGAATCTGCAGTAGTGTTTGATTTAGAAACAACAGGTAATAATAAAGACAAAATATTGTGCTTTATCATATTTGTATAAATGAAAGGACCATGTGAGTTATATTACATTCAATCCATTATTGTTGTCTGTTGAATTTAAAAAAAAAAATCATTCTCAATCCCTCCTCCCCTCTCCAAACTGCTTTTTACCATGCATATAAACCAGGCACCATAATATATATCTGGCTTGTTAAGTAAAACCTACCCTGTGTGCTATCATAGTAAAACAAATTTATGTTCCATTGTTTCTGTTACAGGTTTATCAAGGAACTCTGACATTACTCAGCTGGCAGCATACGACGGCAGCGACATTTTTAATCAGTACATAATGCCATGCCAAAAAGTATCTGCAACAGCTTCTTCTATAACAGGATTGACTTATGATTTCCATTCAAACCAGATGTATCATCATGGAAAACCAGTCATCAGTAAAGATGTTCGTGTTGTTTTGTTGGACTTCATCGAGTACCTTAGTAAGAAGAAGAAACCAATCCTTTTTGGTCATAACATTGCAGCTTATGATGTACCAGTTTTACTGAAAAAGTTACAAGAAAGTCATTTGCTGTCAGAATTTCTTCAACATATAACAGGCTGCATTGACACATTGAAATTAGCGAGAAGAAAGTTTAGCAAAAGTGAAGTTGGAAATTACAAGCAACAGAATCTTGTTTCAAAATTACTTGGCAAAGAATATGATGCACATGATGCAAGTGCTGATGTAACAAGTCTTCATGAACTTCTTGGACAGCTGAACTATTCTGAAAAAGATATTTTTGCTTTCAATGTGACAGCATTGACGGACACTTTCACCCCATTAATGAGAGCATCTCTTATCACCAAACCAACAGCTAGGCGATTAGCACAATGTGGACTTTGCCTGAGACACCTTCAGTTAGCATTCAAGAGAGATACTGAAAATGGACTGAGATATGTGTTGTCAGAGCATGGATTTAATGCAAAAACTGTCAAGGCTGTCACAAGTTTCTTAACAAACAAAGAGGAATGATAACCTAATATGTATATTGGTGTCTAGCCCAAATAATTCAAGAATGGCTACACCTCCTGCTTGAAATCTGCTATGAATAGTTTATAATAAGACCACATGATCCTATGGTACACTTGTAATAATGTATTGTTAAAATCAGTTTTTAACATGTCAGAAATGAGTTAATGAAATTTACATTGGGTCCATCCATTCCAATCTGCACTAGCTTACTTGCAGTTGCATTCAGTTCACTATGAATAACACCTTCTTGAGTTACATGTCATTTGCTGTGGCATGACCAGGAAATTGATAATCAAAATATCTTGTTTTTAGAAAATTTTCCTCTTCATCCAAAAATCAAACATTACATGCATAACCATGTGTTTATTAGCCTGCGAGTCAAGCAATTTGTCAAAAAGAACTGAGTATTTATCTTCTGATCATTCACTAACAAATGCTCTGCTGTTCTGAAGGCAGCTATAATATACATGTGAATTTGTTCGCAATGTTACCGTCAGGAAACATGAGGGGAAATAATTTAGAAATGTCAAAGAACTGTTTTACTGTTTGCAAATCAAGAGTCAAAAGTGTTTCAGCACGTACATGTTGAGTATTAGCAGGTTTTACACACTCTGTGGGTTGAGCTATATAGCTGTAAAGTCCTACCTGCTTTTTTTTAGCTATTTTCATGAAATGCAACCTCAATAGATGTTTTATGCGACTTTGCTGCAATTTAATGAAAATTCAAATGTGAAATCAAAAAATAGCACAATGCAGCTATAATTTAAATATGGATATAGCTATATAGCTCAACCGACAGAGTGTACTGGACCTAATTATTAAGAGCGACAAAATCACTTTGTCACCAGCAGCACGAGCATTAGCTGAAACCGAGAAACGTACTTAAAGCATTCGCTGTAGTTTCGGGGGTTTTCGTAGGCTGAGTATTAGCGTGTTCCTTTAAAAAAAAACGAATCTGGGCTCGAATCGCTTGCCCACAGAATGGTTTGTTTGTAGCAGTAATGCATGCTCCCCCATCTTGCCTAGGTTGCGAACGATACATTTTGCCACGTCCTTGACGCCTTTAAATTCTCTGGTCGGTCTGGCGAACCATTGATCGCAAGCCACTTCCGATTAAATGCACACTTTCCCTATTCTGACCGTACTGTTCGTTCAGAATGCGGCTCGTCCAATTGTTTTTTCCTAATCTTTATCGCGAAGAAGCTTCAAATTTAAAGTATGTACACCGAAGGTATCAAACGTAATAATGACCCGGAATAGTATCAGTAGTATTGGAAACAGAAGCCGGTAGATGATTTCCGGAATATTATACCCCCTCACATTTTTGTTTGTTTTTATTTTGTTTTATACATTTTACGACCATTTATTCATTTCACGACCGTTTATTTTTTAAATATCTTTAAATCTTATGCACAAAGTGGCATCATAACCTTGATATAACAGTGTTTTCATTAGTTTTTAGGGTTTGTCAAGACAGTTACTGATTTTTAAGGTTTTTAAAGGCTTTTTACATAGTTTTTATTTAATTTTTTTATTTTGACATCTTTTTCAATGATAATTAAAATGTGTGCGAACCATGTTTTCAAATATATTGATCAAAGTAATATTTCAAGTTTAAGGTTATATCTCGATACATGAGATAGAGACTTCAAATTTGGTCAAGTGAAAGTCAAGGTCAAAACTATATCAGGTCAAGGTCATATTTCAAGATTTAAGGTCGTATATACTACAGAAGTACTTGTCCTCCTTGAAAGGGACTGTGTTGGCAATACACATCTTGTTCATATGTACAATTGTAACTCATTCATATACAATCTGTTCTAAAAATAGCACCATTCCAGCAGCATGTCTTTATATTCCCAACTCTGTAGACTAAAAAGTAAGAAAGAAACATGATCTCATATTCCTATCAAATATTTACAATACAAATGACTTTATAATTTTAGTGTTTCAAAAACTATTAAATGACAGATTTTCAGGATATATTCAAAATAATTGCCAGTTTACCCTGTTAGAAAATGCAAAATTTGCCAAATTTTGTCATTTTTTTCCTGTTTTGGTAGATTTACCAAAATCAAAACTCAAATTTATCATTTTGCATTTGAAAAATATGTCTTCTGTCCTAACTTTCGAAAAATGTGTTTGAAAATTTTGAAAAATAAATTTTATACAGTTGAAAATGACTTTGTTGTGAATATTGAAAATTTTGTGACAAGGGAGATAACTAAAATTGAATTACCTCCCTTATATATCAAGAAAGTGACCATAATATTATAATATGTTACAGAGGACAACTAAATGTATGTATGTGGAAAAAATGAAAAATATTAATTGACTAGATTTTTTTACAAATAACACATAACACCCTGTTCCTCCTTAAGGAGGTGCTGGAAACTGAATAGAAAACCCAATGATGTAACAGTAACTGCTTTAGCGACTGAATCCGTTGAAAACATTGTCATGGCAAAAAACTGTATGGAGTTTCATAAAGTTTCTTTGAGGAATGAACTTGATACAGCGATGACCAAGTTTTTTCCAAAAATCGTAACAGTGACCTTGAACTTCAACGCAGGTATTGTCACACCAAACACTTGTTTGTAGTATCTTGATGTTCGGTTGAGAAATGGAGTCACTAAAGCGATGCCAAAGAGTGTAACATACGTACGTACGTACGGGCGGAATCCTATATCCCCTCGAACTTTCGTTGGGAGAGGATTGTAAGCGACGAAACTATAATCGATCTGCTGCCCAATCAATGCAACATTTTAGTTCGTTGTGAACAATTGTATTGCCTATAAGATCATTTATTGAACGTAGATGTTGTCTGTACCACCATATAGAGTACACAATTCATAGTCCGTTCCAAATGACCAGTTTGACCACTCGAATTGTTTGGGAAAGCCTTGTCTGAAATAGCGCCGATAGCGTCTCGTAAAGGTTTTGAAACGAGGCAGTAACTTCTTACCGCACTATGAAAACCAGGAATAAGATTCGAAGTCCGTGTTGCAACTTAATGAGTCAGCTATGCAGTTATTACTCTTCGTCAGAAGTTAATTGCACACATGCCATTATTTAAATGCAGAAATATCTGTATCTGGCATCTCTCCATTATTTATAGACACCAGGGAATATCTATTACCGTAATGAGACCGGTACAAATGGGTACGGTGCTAACACTTTCCCTCAACCTTCTCTGTAAAAAAGGATTATTCACGAGATGAATACCCCCCCCCCCCCCCCCCCCCCCCCCCCCCTTTTAAAAAAAAAATATTTCATACATTGTATTGACAAGTATATAAAGAGAAATGTTTGTGAAATTTCTTATTACAACTCGGTGTCAATTTTGTCCAGACTATTCATTATATATTCCTGTACACTCTCTTCCCAACTTTCATTAAATAAACCCTTTTTATGTCGAGATAACTTTTCTTTGTGGCAATTCCTTATTCTCTAAAATAGTTGGACATCGACTTTTTAAACACAACTGCAGGCATGGGGCAAGTATGCTTCTTTATTTTTATTAAGGACGCAGGACAATTATGTTTAGTAAAAGATTCTGTACCGGTCGCATCCCGTTAATACATATTGTCTCGTCACTAATCTCTGGAACTGGTATGCATAGAAGCTTTTCCTTGCATGTTTGTATCAACTTATTACTTTTGTCTGAAACAAAAGCTGTAGTACTCGGCCGCACGCGCCAATTTCACAACGTAAACAAATCACTTTTTCCTCCTTTTTCAAAACGTATTCCGATTCTATTTAGTCGAAAATTAATATTTTATAGACCAAAAAATTATTGCATAATCATACATTCTAAGTCAACTTCATGTGAAAACATGAACGTGTGAAACAATTAAGATTTTAAAGTATTTTTGTTATTCGCCACGATTAAGTTCTTCCTCTCAGTTGTTTTCAAACCTGAACCGTCATTTTGATATTTACATCTTGCATGTGAATAAAAACAAAAGACTTTTACTTCAGCAAGATAATTCAATCATACAATTTTACTGGACCCGGGAATATTATGAAACATAATTGTAAATCTAATAGCGCACGCATCTCATGTTACCCCGAGTTTCGACAGAGGAGAGAACAGAAAGTTTGCTTTACGCGGTGGTTAACTGTACAACATCACAACAGTTATCCCTTGGAGGGCCCCAAAGCAAAATCGAACTAGCCAATCACTTATCCCTGCCTTTCGCATAAACTACTGTACTAGTATACAAAAACGCAAGGTACATAACAACTTAGACAAATAAACTAACAAGATTAATATTTTTAAATATTTATTCATTACATAATAGCATTTTTGTCGATTTCAGCTTTATTTAACTTTGAATCGGCTATTCGGAAGAATACTTGCACCGTACTAAGTACAAGTATACTATAGTATTTGAAAACAAAAATGCTTCACCGTGATGTCCCTTTAAGGACGTACATGCCTACATGTGTTTTGTATGCGTGCATGTGTGCTGGAGACAGGGTATGTTGATGTATTTGCTCCCGCGAAGCGTGGATCTGATGACGACATTTTGCTGCTGCCTTACTGAAGCTTGGGATTCGAGGAAGAATAGACCTGCAATCACACACGGCATATCTCGTAAGAAGGGATTAATGTGGGAACCCATTCACAATTTGATGTTTGCGCAACCGCTACAATATTTAGTATTTTTATATCTCTCTCTACCTTTTACTCTCTTATTCTCCGTAGCGACATTTTTGGCAATACCTCGCTTTTAGCTTTAATGTTGAATGTTGTTACGGCACGATTTTTCAACCCGACACGATTTCTTACCCGGGTGAGAATTATTGTTAGGAGTAGGCATATTATCCGGTATCATGGCGATTGTGGTATATTAAGGCTTTTTTATAAAGGAACTATTTCCAGCTATGTTAAAATTACATAGGAGCCTACCCCTCATAAATTTTGTTTCAGAAGTGCTACGAGATTTATGCTGTTCTTTTATTTTTTTTAAATCCCTTATACATCCGATGTTAATACTTTGAACCACTCTTCTAAATATTTAGATGATTAATTAACCTTCTTACAGCATGGGGTCGAAAAATGGAATATCAGCTTGAAAGTATTTTTCTGTAAAATAATCTTATTTTTTGCGTCGTATCACTCAAGTCGAACATTTTGTGATTTTTTTATGTAAAATATAGGATTTTCAATCTTATTATTCTTGTATACCAAAAAATATCATAGTATGAAGAAGTGGTGTTATTTCAAATATGTTTGCAAAAATTTAGTCCAAAAATGTGGTGAAAAGTATTCATTTCGCACAACAAAGTACCCAGTGTGCCCAAAACGGTGAGGGCCTGAGACACATCCCTGGCGTCCACTTAAAAGCAATGCACCTAATAACAGGTAATTGGTTACGAAATTCGTTGCAAGCCTACAATACATCTTTCAGTGCATGTTAGGTCACAGACAATTCCAAATTCCAATCGATTTCATCACTTGGCGTGATTTAACAATCAATTTTGAGATCAAATGTTATTTTCTTGTCCCTTTTTAGAATTTGTTCTGATACATTTTTTATTTATTTTTTATACATTTTATCATTAGACTTTCGTTTTTACATTGCTTTTAGGGGATATTTCATA